TCAGCCGCAAAACACCTGTAACAAAGCCTGATTCCCCAGGGTTGGTTGGCCGACCCCAAACATACAAACCACAGCCCGCTCCTCAGGTATTGACTTTAGGTGCCTGTTGGTAATCCCCCATATGTATCCTGAGAGGCAGTTGAAGTCTTGGGCCCCGGACACTTATTGTGTTGTCTCTATCGTGCTAGTGGCACTCCTGCTTTTCATTGGGAGGATGTTACATCATCTGCCAAGTCTTTTGCTTTCATAGGGAGTGATTGTCGTGTGCATGTTTTGTACTAATCCCTCTAGGATTTTCCAAGTGTATATAATCACTGTCTGCCTTTTTTGGGCTATCCTAGGTTCTCTACACACATGCTGCTATGTATGATAATCTATGTAACTGTATTTGTGTATACCTGAATACACTTACTATCTCTCCCGCCTGCATTCTAGGGAGTACGGGTTGAGGAACTTCAAGTGTTCCCAGTAATTGAGGTGTTTTTCGCAGTTGTGTGTGCCATGAATGTTCTCTGTACATTTTCCAGGTCAGCAATTTCACCTACCTTCAAAGGTGCTGTTAGTGTGCAGTAATATTCCAGCCTAGATAGAACAAGCGACCTGAAGAGTGCCATCATGGCTTGGCATCCCTAGTTTTAAAGGTTTTCATTATAGATCCTGTCATTTTTCTAGCAGATGCAATTGATACAATGTTTATCTGTTATGGTCTTTGAAGGTGAGATCCTCGGACATGATCACTCCCAGGTCTTTTACATTAGTTTTTCACTCTCTTGTGTGGTTAGAATTTGTTTTACATATATTCAGATGTAGTTTTAATTTCCTCACATTTTCCATATCAGAGTAATTGAAATTTCTCTTCATTGAACTTAGCTTTGTTTTCTGCAGCCCATTTAACCCTTTCAGGGTCCAGAGGCCAAATTTCAAAGTGCACACCAGGGTCCAAGAATTTTCAAAAAATAATTTTATTTTTTCTTATGAAATGGTAGAGAATCTTTTTCTGAAGGTAATAAAACAAAAAGTACGAAATTTGATGGAAAATTGATGAAATTATGCTCTTGTAAATTTTGATGTGTCAGTGATATTGACGCATCGGCGATTTTGCCAACGTTGACTCCCATTTTAGGCCAATTATTATTCCAGTCGATCAAATTCAAATTCTTAGCTATTTCACTAATATTACTTCTATGCTATAGACTGAGCACAAGAAATCACCAAGTCAGAAACAATGCAGGCATTCCTGGAACTAAACTAACATTTCCTCTGTTCATTGGTTACGTTTTCAGGTTTTACAAATTAATTTCGTTTTGATTTTTTATTCGCATAATAAATTTTTATTCAAACCAAAAATAGAAGATTTACTGTTATGCAATACTGTAATAATTGTATAAATAATATCGCCACATTTGTGAACGTATATTAGACCCACCAGCTGGTGTGTATTAGACATGGGTCATTTGTTTACTCTTGAACATCGGCAAAAATTTAACATTTCTGCTATTTTGAGCTCAGTTTCAACCCATTTCCATTATTAAAACCAATCAAAATCATCTCTATTTCTGTAACATATCTTCCATTCTATCAAATGAGACCAAGAAATTGCAAATACAACTATAAAAAAGATACGAAAAAACGCTGCAAAGTTGCTGTTTTAATAGAAAATTACGGTCTCGGTATTTTCTCTCTCATTATGCACTGTGTGCTGCAGGATTTATTTTATGTGGTGCACACATACCACATAGATGTATTCTCTTATATCTAGGCCCAAATTTACCACTCGCAGCTTATCAGAGCGAGCTGAGCTCATGGCGTAGATCTACGGTTTGGACCCTCAATGTATAACCGTAGATCTACGGCACGGATCCTCAAAGGTTTTTAAAGGTTGGTTGATGCCCACCTAGACTTGTAGTGTTTAAATGGGGGACACGTATGCAAATTTGGGTCCATCTGCAAGGAATAAGAAGTTTTTTAGTGTAATAAATACATTTTAAATGGTTATCATACTCACATTTGAAGAACCTGGAAATCCAAAAAAACAGGCTGTGGCTTACACCCCCTGTCTGTAAATATGAGGATGGGAAAGGAGGGGAGGAATACTGTGCCTTGTGAACAATCTTTAAACTCTAGCGCCTAGACTTTACTCCTTTCAAAACTACGCTCTTGTTTTGTTTGTTGGGAAAATTTATAATCCATCCCAATTTTCCCTTTATTCCTTTATCAGGCATTTTGTCAAAATACCCCCAGGCACACTTGTCAAAGGTTTTTGGGAAAATCTTGTTATTCACCGATTTTTTTTGTCTTCAAGGCTATACATGTATTAAATTCATCAACAGTACAAAATTTTAAAATTTCATACAATAGAACATTCTTTAATTTTCAAAATTTTCATATTATTTTTCAAAATAGATACGTAAAAATAATTTAATGCTAAATTTGGAAATATTTTTTGCATTTATAAACATGGGTAATTAAAATTTTTTTTTGTTTTTAAAAAACAAACATTTAACCTTTATGGGCCATACATTGAATTTATATGGGTAATAAATATCTGCTTATAAAAATCAATGAGGTTTAAGAAAAATCATTCATTTGAAGAATTTTTTATTTGCTTAGTCAAAACATAATTTACATTTAAAAATAATGGTGTTCTGTGGCACACATGATAATAGCCCCCAGTTTTACTTTATGTTGTTAATCAGGATGGCCCCTAAAATAAAGAAAAAAAAAGTGAATTTTCATTGAGGTTCCGAGAGATTAGGGAGTTTTTTTTTTTTTAAACTTTCAAATTTCTGTACATGTATTATCTACCCAAATAAGACAATACTACCTCACATGTCAAACTTTGGCTCAGAACCAAAAAATCCAGGTTAAACCGAGTGAGGCAAAATATATTGCACGCTCCTACCTTTCTGTAAATTTTTTTTGGTAATTTTCCCCAAAAAACAGCGCATAGTATGGGCCCTTTTCCCTGAATGTAAACTATACATGTAGTAAACATGTATTTATACCTAAGGGTACCCAAAGGAGCTTTTGGGGTTCCGACCAGGGCCTCCTGGGGGTCAAGGCCTATGAACCAAACTGTTAATGCTGGCCCAAAACAGTCGAATACCAGCCACAGCCCGGCTGATCAGGAGGGGTTTTAAAAGAGATGCAAGAACATTCGCACAGTACTCCTCCTACCTTCCATTTTAATTTTCTTCCACGTAGATTAATTTTGCACAAACGAAACAATGGGAAGCGATAAAACTGAAAAAGAAAAAAACAGCTCTATGTTTTGGTCTAGTTGAGGTCCTTCATAAACTGAGGTCCAGACATATTTACAGTACTTACCCTTCATTGTTGTAGTCTCTAATGGGTTTGTTTTGTGACAGTGGGCACATTTTTTTTAATTAAACTTGCAAACCCCCCCAAAGGGTTGTGCTCTGATGCGCCAAGACACTTTTATCAAAGAAAAATGTGCTACCCCTTTCCTTTCCCGATTGGTTCCTGTTTTTCAGATCTGTATGACCCGTGGGTTCCACTTCTCTTGAATATACATGATGTAAAGTTACTTTAATATTCAGCAAAAAGGGGCAGATTCTAAAAATGCTACAGTGGCAGAAGGACAACGCTATGATTTTGTGGTCTTTGGAGCAACTGGGTATACTGGCCAGTATGTAGTAGAGGAAGTATCTCGTGTGGCCCATCATGATTGGACAGAGAGAAACATACCACTGACTTGGGCTGTAGCTGGGCGCTCTAAAGACAAACTTCTAAATAGCCTTGCAACAGCACGTAAAGAAACAGGTCGGTCTTTTTTTTTTATTTACACAATATAATTGTTTGAATGTGCTTGTCTTTATTTTTATACCAGTACCATTTTTTTTTTATCATCTTTGTCCTTAACAGTTTTTAACATACAACTTATTCAGTATAACAGTGCAGTTCGCTTGTATTATTGGTGGTGTGCATATTCTATTATGAATGGTTCATATTAAATGATACGTTTTATTACAAAACATTCTTGTTTCAAAATGCATATTCTGTAAAAGTAAATTGTTCTAAAATTTGTGGATGAGGATAACATGAGGTACTAGTCATTAGCGTTAGTGAAAATACACTTTATATGCTCATCTAATGAGACCTAATTAACTTCATTTTTCAGATATGTAGGAATGATGGCATTTCTTTTTTGAACTTACAATAAGTTGAAAAGTAAACTTTGCTTACTTTGCTTATTACAGGTTTAAACTTGGAAAATGTAGCAGTCATCCTTGCTGATGTTGCAGACCAAGATTCCCTGAATAGGATGGCTGCTCAGTCCACTGTTGTTATCAACTGCGTTGGACCTGTAAGAATAACATACTTTTTCTCTTCACCTTATTATCTCTACAGTTAACTGCAGAACTAACTCAAATTAGTATGTCATTATCTTGTTTTCAGTTTCTATCTAAATTATACCCAATAACTTGGTTGCAACATCAATCATGCATGCTTGTTGAACATAATTTTAAGCATAAAATTAAAAGGTCAGTTATTATTCCTATCACTATTAGCACAAAAATAAATTTTAATTTGATAGTTAATGCTCAAATTACAGCTCTTATCTTGGCAAGCATTCAAATCTATCTTTTCTGTCAAGCATTGTATCAATTTCATGTTATGTATTGAGATTGAGTCATGAATGAGAGTAATGGAGATAAATCAATTCATGATAATTATGCCAAAATGCTAGGAGAAATAAAAAATCAGTTGGGGGGCCTGGTCCTTCCCAGTCCAACTAAAACCAAGTGGTTCATTGATCATATTCTTAACCTGTTGTTTTACAGTGGAACTCTTTTTTTTTTAAATTTTTCTTTTTTTTGCACTAAAAACTTTAAAATGTTTGATGTATTCTTTAACAGTATCGGTATAGGAAACGAGTGGTACGTGCCTGTATTAAAAAGGGTTCAAATCAGTGACACTCTGGTGAACCACAGGTAATTTTTTCATAAAGGATTACCAATCTATCTTTGGAAATTTTTTTGGGAACGTATTTTGCTTCAATTTATTTGTAAAATAACAGGCAATGATAAATATGTTTTTCAAAACTGTGAAACTCTTCAAATGTATTTGTTTTTTTTGGGATACTATTTTATTTTTTTATATTTAATGTGTATTTCTACTGTAAAAGTAAATAAGTTTTTTTAATCTGAAGTAAAAAAAATTGTAGGCCCATTTTTTGCGCGGGAGATATTTTCCCAGAAAAATTTGTTCTATTAGTTGATAATTCAAAATTTTTTAAGTTATTGTAAATAAAATTCTTTTTTAAACAATGGAATAAGTACTCCTGCATTCCCTGGGGAGTCAAACAAAGGGAAAATTTAATTACTGAATTTACGTTGTGTGTTAATTGTATTTTCTGTAATAATTTAACTGCTAAGAAACACTTTAATAATATTTTGCTTTAAGGTTTATAGATGTTCCCCCAGCACGTCATTGTATTCAACACCCTATCCAACACAAAACATAAATTTTAAAACAGTAGGCATCCTCTCAAAGTACGTTATGTGACCACAAAACACTACTTCATTTACTATTTATGATCTACCCAAACCTTGCCTATGTATTTGTGCTGGGATTCCACAAAAAAAACCACCTAAAATCAATAATAATAACAAAAGCCACAGTGAAATATCACCAAACCCCCTGCTAGACAACAAACCCCCCCCTCTTCAAAACCTAAAACCCACTCGCTATACAAAACATTCACTCGTACTATTGGCAACCTACATTACAGAACATCAAATTTTGATATAAATCCCCGACCTGAAAACTTTCTTAACAGTTTTCAGTAGGGCATTTGACACAAAAACAGGCACAAAAACCTCTTACATTCCCCCGTGTAAAGCAAACTTTTTAAAAACTCATTGTACACAAAAGGGCCCAAAACGGGGAAATCTCAGCCAGAAATCTCCAGAAACCCACGGGGTTCAGCTAGCATTTTTAAAGCTACATTAAAAACAGCTTATCTCCTTAAACCCATCCATCCAATCATTTTTAAAAAAATTACATGCATTTGTTCGTTATCATGAACATGGGGGAAAATTTTCTCACAATATAAATCAATATAACTTCTCTCAATATCTGTATTATCTCAAATGTTTAACACTTCCATTGTATCCACCGAGGTTAATAATCAAAAATTTTAATCTTCTCACAAGACTTATTAAACCATGTAGCATGCCTAATAGAATCAAATTTTTTATTCATTGAACTCATCTAATGACCAAAAGACTGTTATTGCCTTTTAATCTTAAGTTAATTTAAGTTTTCCTGGTATGTTTCTGCATAAAAAAAGGGGTTTTTTGGGATGTAAAGGCATCAACTTTTTTTGTGCAACATGTACAGTCAAAATAAATTTTTCTTTCAACAAACCAGCCGTTTTCCCCCCCAGGGAGGGTGGCCCAAAAAAAGAAAAAAAAAATTTCTCTTTTTTAAAAATTTAGTAAAGATACAGGGGAAGGGGGTTTCTAGCTTTCGGAGAAAAAATTCGTTCCATTTCCCCATTTAGATAAAAATAAACAAGAAAAAGAAATTTGTAAGAAAAAAGAAGAAAAAACCCCCGGGGATGTATATACATTATGCTTACATGCGTGTGTGTGCCTAAGTGTAAGTAGAAAATAGCAGGACATAATTTAAATCTTGCATGTTTTTGAAAGAAAAAAAACACCCCGCAATCCTTTTTTTCTTTCAAAAAACACCGGCCGTATCCACCCAGGGAGGGGGGCCCAAAAAGGAAAAACGAAAGTTTCTCCTTTTACATTTAGTAATAATACAGGAAAAGGTTACTAGCCCCCTTTCTCCCCCCCGGGATTTTAGTTCCTCTTACAAACAACATGGCTTTTTCGGAGGAAGAATCTGTTTCCAGTTCCCCATGGGGATAAGAGGGAAAAAAACAAGAAAAAACTAGAAAGAAAAAAAAAGAAAACCCCGAGGGGTGTGTATAATTGCTTTTTACATGTATGTGTGTTGCCTAATGTAAATAAAATGTAGCAAGACGTACCTGAAATCTTGCATGTTCAGAACAAAAAAAGGACCCAGCAATCCCACCATCATTAAAACAATTTACTCATTGGCGGGTGTAGTACCCCCTGGGTGGTTGCTGTTACAACCTACACCCACAAAAAAAATATTATTATTATATTGTGATTTTCTGTTTGGTTCCAAACAATTGTCATTTATCCATGGAAAAATGAAACTACTCGAGGTTTGGGCCCTAATAGTTTTTTGTATATCTAGCAGCAAAATTTTTACTGAAAAAAATTTAGTTCATTTTTTAAAACTAAATTTTTATATGCATTTGGATGAGAATAATGTTATTGAGATTGCAAGTTACTGGTGTTTTTTCATTTTAGTTCCTGGAGGTATGCAGTTGAAATACAACTACAGCAGCAGAGAAAGGCAGGAGTTCATATTGTTGGTGCTTGTGGATATGACTCCATTCCTGCAGAATATAGAGCATCTTACACTTGATCAAGGAATTTCAAAGTATGACTCTTTGAATGTTATTTTCGTTGTAGTTCAATATTCTAGGATATCTTGAATTAATGTGGTATGCGCTAAAAATACCGTTTTTTCTGGCATTTAAGGTACATTTTTTCTTTTTCCAAAAAATTCTGGGAAAATCACCGCTGCTTATATGCTCAGGTGAGGTAAAAAGGGTTGGCTTTGGGTTATGGCTCAGTTGGGGGTTTCAGTGTTTACAGTACAGTAAAACTGAACTCCAAACACCTCACCCATCCCTCGAACTTTCCCAGTGATTTATCATCAATATCAGTTTTAGTTTGGATATTTACTAGTAACGTCTGTTAAACAACAGGTAGGGACTTTTTTGTTTTGTTGATGATGGTAGAGAGACTGAAGGTTGTGGCAAGCCTCAACTTGTTGAATAAGACAGATCTGAGCCTTGTTACTTCAGTATTCTCATTCTTTAGATGAATAAAAAATGGCTGCATTATTTTTACTTATTTACAGCGAAAAAAGTGAAGGGGGTAGGGGAGTTACCGGTGGGGGGAAATAATTGGGGATTGAATCTGGAGTAATCTGGAAGAGAGTTAGAGCAAAGGAAGGGGGTAGCAGTAATGTTAGTAATGAATCAGTTATGTAAGGAGGAAAAGAGAATATGAATGGGTAAATTCAGAATTACTGTGGATTAAAGTAAGGTTTGGATGCGAAAGTGGGTCATAATAAGCGGGTATGACCTGGAGAGAGAGGAATGTGAGTGAAGAGAGAGAGATTTTGGGGGGTGATGGTAAGTGAATGTAATAGGAGCCTTTGAACCCATGTGAGAAGAGTATTGTGGTAGGGGACCTGATGCAAAAGTAGGAGAACTTTTAGAGAGGGGATGTGGTAGGGTGGTAGGTAAGTTTGGGGTGTGGTGCCAGGTGTAAAGTAATGGGAGCCCTTTGATTGACTTTGTATAGAAAGGGGTTTAGTTATAGGTAATACATATTTAAGAAAAAGAAGATAAATAAGTATACAAGATATGGTTGTAGGGGCAAAATGACAGTAGTTTGTTGGGATATGTATTGGTAGATGAAAAGGATGGTGAGTAGACTTTTCAGGAATGTACATGGTTATAGAGGGGCCACAGATATTATCAGATCACTTTCTAGTTGTTGCATACATGACGGAGTAAAGGTAGATGGGAGACAAGGAGATAAGAAGCATCAGGGACAGAGAAGAGGTGAAGGTTTATAAACTAAAAGAGGAGGCAGTTAGGGTAAGATTTTTTAAACAGCTATTGGAGGATAGATGGGCTAATGAGATGCATAGGCAATGGGGTCAAAGATGGTATAGGGCTAAGGTTTAAAAAATTGTAGTGTTAGTGTTCAGCAGAAGTTTGTGGTTACAGAAAGTGGGTGTGGGTGGGAAGTGGAGCGTGGTGGAATGATGTAAAGAGTGTAGTAAGGGAGAAAAAAGTTTGATATTGAGAAGTTTTCTTACAAAGTAGAAGTGATGCAAGAGGGAAAGTATATGGAGAAAAAGGGAGAGAGTTCAGAGAGTGGGAAGGCAATGATAAAAGAGTGCAAATAGGGGAGCTGGACTTACACTACCTTAAAACATGTAGCAGGCAATGAAACTATTGTACTTTACACTCCTCGCTAATCCTATCTATTGAAAACTTTTTTTTTCCCCCCTTCGCACTCCCATACTTGGGGACTTTTAGTCAAGGAGTATAAGAAGAATAGGCGAGAAAAAGTTCTAACATGTGGAAAGTCGCGTTAGCAACAATCTACTGACTGTCACGAACTTAACCAGTTAGAGAAATAATTGGATGAACCATTGATATACAAATTGGAACTTAAAAGCCTGGAGTGTAATGTTCCACCATTCAAGAGGGCGACTGTTGCGTTCTTTAAAAGTTTTCTAGGGTTATATCAAAGGTTTGTGGTCCGTTCTAAAATGAATTCTTTTCCAACAAATAAAGTTTAAGTTTGGAGATACCCCACACAAGGGCCAAACATTCCTTTTCTATGGTGGAGTATCTAGTTTCTGCGGGAGAGTTTACGGCTTAGGGAAAGCTTACAGGAAGGGAGTACCATCCATGGTATTGTCGTAATCACCGCACCTAGCCAGTATTGGGGGCTATTCAGTTCTTTAAACAAAGTGTTTTATTATATCAGGACATCTTAAAGTTAGGGTCCTTTCGAAAAGGATTACTTTTAATATCGGTTAAACTATTCCCGAGTTCGTTGGAAAGTTCAAAGGTTCCTTCACAGACTTTTTAAGGAAGTCGGATAGCTGCCTGTTAGATCAAGTAAGAGTTCGGGTTAAATTACGTGCATAAAAATTTACAGTACCAAGAAAGCTACGCATGAGCTTCTTGGTTTTGGGATTTAAATTTTATAGTTTTGTTCTTACTGGGGAGAAGACTGCAGCGAGTTATTAGGAATAGTATTCAGTCCAAGATATCTAATCTTGTTTTACCCAAGGAAGCATTTCTTCGGTTGGCCAATGAGGCTCCATTAGTGAGCGTAACTACGCAAAACTGATGTTAATGTTTGGATATGTTCGCCCACGTGATGTCATTACGTAAATGTTATCAAATAAAAATGAAACATTTGGCTTATTACATAAGGACCTTTCTCATCAGTCTCACGTAGGTTAGCACAGGCAGTTACCAACCGAAGGGCATAGTTCTATACTGATCGTCTTGGTGTGTAGGAAAAAGTGGTGTCCTGATTAGAAGGAAGGATCTAACCATTACTTGATGATATGCTTGCGCAATATCAATCTATGAAAGAAGGAAGCGTCATTAAATTTGTATTTGGTAAACTCGCTATATATTAAGGGCATAGGGCTCAGCACTCCACACCGAGTTAATCGCATATGGCCTCTGAAGTCATAGCAAGTCTATATGAATATCTCCTCCTTAACATGACTACTGGTGAGCAATATTGCAGTTTCTGAAGGTTCAATGATCTTTAGTTTAATAATTTGTTCTACCTCTCGGTAAAATGCATTCCTAAGGTCGAGCTTGGAAATGAGGTATAATTTTATTCTTTTGATAGGATTATCCGTCACTAAGTCATTCTTTTATGGAATACCGTGGAGGTAACACCTGTGGCAATATCAGTAATGCGTCTGAAAATGTTATCACACATGAAGTAGTCATGTCTCTTTATGGTCATCCCGAAGATTTCATTATAATAATGTTTGTTGCGCCCGAGTTGTCGAGAGTCACCAAGTCTTGAGTTCTCCATCATAGTCTGTGTTAGAGTGTGTCAATTACGCACACCTTACACTCTTCAGTTGTCTTATCAAGTTCGTGTGGAAAATCCAAGTCAGTCATTCAAACAGTTGACCATTCTCGGTAATATTTTCTTAAGGATGTTATGATAAAGCTTAGGTTTCCCTTGACTTCTATGGAGATATCAACTTTCCCAACAGATTTTTATACTTTTTATGGACCTTTTCCATGCTACTATTAATTTATTTGACTTGATAGGCAAAAAAGTTACCATGAAATTAAATCCATACTTTTAAAACTCTCCGCTGACTTTTGGAATCAAATTAGGTTTTGTACTGGTCCATTGACAAGCTTACGGTTTTTTCGAAACTATGTCAGAGGTCTCCTCAAGTTTGGATATAAGGTCAAGGACCGCAAACTGGTAAGAGACGGAAACCTCAGCACTTAACCTTCCTCATTAGTCCATTAAGTCATGAAGGCATGGACAAGGGCCTCTGCTGTCTACCTGAGAGAAGTTCAAAAGGTTGAAAACCCAAAGAGTCACTGGGAACTTCCATCATGGACAAACGAAGCACAGGGTAGGTAACGATGCCATCTCCTTAGGTTTAAGGGAGCAACAGTTTCTTAAAATGGACTTGAGAATCGACTGCTGAGCGCTCAATCCTCCCATTACGCTGGGATGATGGGTGTGGTGAAGAGTGGACTTCACTACCCAGAAGTTGGTATAGATGTTGCTTTAACGTCAGTTGTTGAATTGTGTCCCTCGGTCAGACCCAAAATTTCTTAGGGATGGCCACTCTGGAGAAGGTGAGAGATGGACAAATGGGCTTCAGCCACCTTTTTAGTAGTTATGCGTCTTTAAGGGGTACGGGCTTCAGGGAAACTCGAAGCATATTCAACTAATGTTCAAATTATACCTATGTCCCCACAGATTGATAAAAGAGGAGAAAAGGACCAACGTGTCAATGCTACTTCTTTCAAAGGTACCGTAAAGACTGGCCATTTGACATAGGTACTAGCCTGGGGTACCTCGGGAGGATGACGTTGGCATACTTTACACGATTTCAATAGGTTAGTGATATCTTGAGGACATTTTTGGCAATAATAGTTTCCCTAATTTTTTTAAGGTTTTACGAGCGAGGAAATGTCCGGCCACTGGCAGGGTCATGAGCACCATTTTAGACACAAGTCTCTCTGCTATTGACTTGAAACAACTAAGGATGGATAGTCTATCTCATCTGAATGTAATTTGAATACTGACCATGTCAAGTATTCCTTTTATATATTCAATTTATATGAAAAGTTTTTCCTTTGGATAACTTGATTTGTTTAAGCGGCATTATGGCAATTTGAAGAGAAGGGGCAATTATTGTTGTAATGACAAAGGAGTCCTTCTATATATCTAAAGGCCTTAAAGTCAGGGAAAAAATCAAAGGATGGGCAGAGGAAGAAGGCCTGGTTTGGTCTGAGCCCTATCAAGACATTTATAGTTTCGGAGGTGATATCGTCACTCATCTAATAAGTGAACGGTGATCCTGCTACTTCGCTCATTCGAGGGATGTAGCATCAATGGTTTTTAATCCCACATGAATCTCACGAGCATTGTCTCATCTGAACTTTCGAGGAGGCTTCTCTGACTTTACAGGAAGAGGATCTGAAACATCAATGACCATCCTTTGGTATGGAGGTCAACCTCAGAAGGAAAAGAATGGCACCTTTTACATTTCCTATTAGTACGAGAGCAAGAAGTGATGGTAGCTAGTAC